GTCCCTCTGGACGGCATCCCTTCCCTCTAGCGTGTCGACCGCAGCACACAGCTTGACATAAACCAGAACACTGGGGGAGTTTCGTAGCCAACTTGTGTGCTGTTCATTTTCACTTATTTACTTCGAAAAGCAACTACTCAACTGATGTTGATGATTTTCAGTGTCATTAGAGAAATACTGTCAAAAATGAGAGGATGAATACAGGTTAGATACTCGTAACTCTAGTTGTAATTTTCTGAAACCCCCCAAAAAACTTGTATCTTTGTTAAGCAGCACAGTTTGGTTTGCTGTTGGTGCAGGCTGTGTGTTGACGCTGGTCTCAGTATAGGATCGGGTCTCTGTGTCAAGCACCTGCAGCTGTGATTTATGACTGAGAAATAACAGGTCATTTTATTTCATGTCCTCAGTCAAGCTACGGTTTAGGTTTTACTAACTGAATGGTGACAAATATAAAATGATTCACCATGATATTCAAGGGGCAGGAGAGGCATGCCTGGAATAGTTTTAAATGGCCTGCACAATGGTGAATGCTTTCTAGTAAATCAGGAAGATTTGTTTGTAAAGGTGATACTCCACCTCCATGTCAAAGTTGTAGGAAGGCACAGGGTACTGAAAGTGATGTGTTACTCTGAATACTGCTGAACACAGGTGTTGAGTGGGGTCTGAGTAGGAAGGTCCTTAAATCAGCAGTTCATAGTAGCCAGGAGAAGGAACAGAGGCAAAAGAAAGGGTACACTGGTTGAGAGCCTTTTAGGAGCAAGTACTTAAGTTTAGTTGCATGAACAGATCACACAGGTGTGAAAAATGTACAGACTGAGCATACAAATAACTGAGGCGTGCTCGTTTGTGGTTTAGTAAGTTTAAAACTGGTTTGATATTTGCTACTAACTCTTAGCCTATTTATCATCATTACTTTTCCTCCAGAAAGTCACTGTAATAAACTAGTTGTCTGCCCTGGATATTTTTTAATTCCTTGAATGTGAGAATAATCTAATTTCTGATGAACTAAAACCAAGGCTTTGTTTCTCAGCTCTGTTCCACCAGTCTTTAGCTGCAGACCAGACAGGACCGGGAGGGCTGAGACCTAAAGAAAGGTTCTGAAGATGTGGGTTCAAGTCTTGGCTCGTAGTGTGCTTCGGTTGATCTCTCCTGTGCCTCAGCTTGCTGTGTTTAAAAGTCCAAATAATGTCCTAGTCAGTGGTACTGTAAGTTTTAAAACCCATGAATGGTTGCAGCTTGCTTAAATAGGTGTCCATATGAGTTCCTTGCTAATGAAATAATGCGGGGTAGCAGTGCAAGTAGTGATTTGGTTCATTTTGCTAAAGGAAGCAGTAATTTTTAATTTTTTTTAAGTGACGTAAGGAGTCACTTCATTAGAAACGCTGACACTAAGGCAGCTACAATAAATTTTGGAAAGCATTTCCCAGTGTCCCCAAGCAAGCACTGCTCTAAAGTACAGTGTAAATGCTGCTGATTTCTTGGTACTACAAGCAAGAGAAATAATAAAAAATGTATGGTTTGTGTGGTTTAGGGAGTGAGCTAAGCTATTCAGATACATGCAGATATGCAGTATATAGGTCCTGAGAGGAAAGAAATGTGTAATTGTCAAGAAAAAAACCCCAAACCACCAGAAATTGGTAAATACTTGCAACTGAACCCTTGCATGCAGAGCAAACTGCCTAAAGCTTCATTTAACTAATGGCTACCCACTAATTTAGTGTCTTGTGTAAATTCCTGTGTCTCTTCCGCCATGTACATGGCTGTCACCTTGCATTTTAAAAGTCTTTAACATCGGCCATGGGTGTGATAACACTGGTTTAATCCCCAGGCTCTGAGTTGGTGTGCTTGTTTAATCTGAGAAGTGATGGTGATTACCTTCAAGTGTTTAAAAGCCATGAATCAATTCTCAGGATTGTATCAAACCCATATGGGGGTTTGCTTTCTGGTGTGAGTGTCTAGCATTGCTTCAAGTTTTTAGGCTCTGTCTGTAACCATAAACCTAGGAACTTATTTGGTTCTTAATGAAGTGGAAGTCGTTAGTAATGACATGTTTCCAAGAGCTGGAACTTATAAAAGCTTCAAATATTTGCCCTGGATTAAAATTGCTTAGCCTGGTAACACTGATTCCTCTCCTATTTCTGAGGATTTTAGGAATTCTCTAATTCCATGATATAGCCAGGACATCAGAGGGGGAAATGTACTACCTCTTTCTTTCAGGTCCTGCCTGTTTCTTTAGGTATTCGGTTCTCTATGCTTAAATACTAGCACCAGTGAGAGTCTCTCAAACAGCAAGTATGATTTGATCTATTTAAGGTGTGATGGTCATCCTAGCTGGCTCACCATTGTGTCCTCTGTATATAAAGGTGCAGACACAGCTGCCATACAGAGGAATTGCTCTAGGTATTTCAGTAAGGCCAGATCACTACCTCATGAGGATTAATGTTAAACTGCAGTAGTTTGTCATCTTCACTGAGTCACAGCCTTCTAATCCCATGGGCTGGAGCTTGGAACAATAGGGTATCTACTAGGGTCTTTTAGTGTTCAGCTGTCTTTGCATGTTACAGTACAGTAATCTGAAACTTGTTTTGTTGTTAAATTATTGTTTTGTGTTGTATTTCTCAGGCAGAATGTGCACTTAGCAGTTCATGCTGAGAACTTCAAGTCTGAAATTGTCAGTGTGAAAGAGATGCGAGATATCTGGTCGTGGATCCCAGAGCGATTTGCACTTTGCCAGCCTCTCTTGCTTTTCACCACCTTGGAACATGGCTGTAGTCTGAGCAGGTAAGGAAAACCTTCCCTGCTCTTCTCTGCTGCAGGGCAAAAGAGAGCAACTGGTTTGCTGGATTTACAAAAAGGCCGTGCCTAGTTAGAACACGATCTGAAGAATATTGTTAGCAATGAGATGTGACAAATTCCTGTTGGTTTCAGCATTTGACCATACTTCATATGCCAAGACATGGCAAGCCATTTCAAACTGTCCAAGACCAACTGGAAAAGTCAGAGAATTTGCTGGTTCCCCACTGGGTGTGAATGGTTTAACTCAGTGGCTGCTCTGCAGGTTCGTTTGATAGATAACCACATTCAAACTGATCCAAAGAATAAGGGAACTGGAAACTGGAGACTCCTCTACCTGTGAATCTGTTGTTATTTTTTAAAGTGGGATAAACTAGATACCAGTTCTCCTTGTACTTGACACAGACTATTATCCTGTAGCTCCTAATGATGACTTCAACACCTGCAGTTGAGGTAATGAGGTGGGGAGTGGTCTGCTGTCCCAGCCCCACCTGTCTCTGAGGAAAAGCAAGCAAAGAGACTGCATTGTGATTATTTTCTATGAAAAACGAAAGCTCTTCAGACACAGCCATCAGTCCTCAGGGCACAACTTCCTTCAGGTTGTCTTAATTCAAAATGCTGTCAAGTGCCACTGTTGTGATAGGTAGTCTTCTAGTTATTCTGCAGAGGCACAACTGTACAGAGAAGTGAGTAGAAAAGACCTGCTTGATAATATTTGCTTACACTCAACTGTGGTTTACAATGGACTGTAGAAGGCACTTGCAGGAATATGCTTAGTCTTCAGATGTCTTTTTTTGCCATGCCATCAGTTGGAGGAGGAGGTGGTGCCTGACGTTGAGGAGGAAAAGCACTGCAGTTGCTGGTAGTTGAGTGCTCATTTTTGTGTACTCTGCACTTCAGGTTCTATTCTCACAGCGAGGGACACGAACCAACTCTTCTCCTCATCAAGACCACAGCAAAAGAGGTGAGTGAGGTGAAGGGCAACTGATGAAATTACGTTTTAGGCAGTTATGTAAAGCTGTATCGCAACACACAACTGTTTATAATAAAATGAAGACATGAGGGACCTGAAACTGCTTGGGGGTTTGTTGGGTTTTTTTGGGGTTTTTTTTCAACAATTCATGCTTTAAATGGTTCCATTTGTTGATTGTGGGACTACACATTCTTGGGTAAATCTTGTAAACTAGGTCTTGGTCAGCTATTCTTTCTCTTGTACGTAATGTGGGGTGACAGACTGGAGTAACTCGCTGAGCTCTTGAACAGGCTCTTAATTGCAGAGTCAGAGGGAAAGACTGGGGAATTGCATTAAGAAACTCATGATTCATAGAAGCTATTTTCATTTTCTCCAGGATACGAGGAGAGAAAGTAGCAGAATTTAAATCGTATGAATAATATTGGACTACATAATGTGGAAACAAAAGCTTTAGCTTCATCTCATTCTTGTTTGAAATAAAAATAAAACAAGAAAGCTCTGAGAACCTGAGGAGGAGTGCACCCAGGTGCCTTATCTAATGGGTGTTGGTTCTCTGCTGTACTGTGCATGATGATGTTGGACAACATAATGTGAAAACAGAAACATTAGCTTCATCTCATGCTTGTCTACAAAAAACAATGCATAAAGCAAGAAAGTTCCCCAGAACCTCTGAAGGAGGGGCACACAGGTGCTTCCTGTAATGGGCGCTGGTTGTCTGCACCGCTGTGCATGACTTCTAAATATTCTGTGTATAATGTTAAACTGTTATTGCACCCTGTGGGCTTATATGTCTGCTTATGTTCCTGCAGGATGACTGCCCGTGAAACAAGCCCATTTCTACTCCTGTTTGCATCTACCTAATGCTAGCGCTCCAGGGTGTTTCATAGTTCTGTGTGTGGTTTCTGGCCATCCCAGGCCTGCATTGACATGCCAATGGCTTATAGAATGCTTGTGGTATCTAAAGGGGAGAGGGAAAAGATTTATTTATTGTTTTGCTTCTTGTCCTGGAGCATGTCAAAAGTCTAGCTTTGTAAGTGATGCTGGTTGTTATAGTATAAAAAGAAAAAAAGATAGTCCAAACAAAAAAGTAGGAGAAAACTATGGGGGTTTTAGTTTGGTGGTTGTGGGTTTTGGTTTTTTGCAAAGGATTATGTTCATCTTTTATTCATATGTCTATAGTTACATTTTAGAAAGAAGAAAATTTGCTTTCTGATTTTCTGGATCTCATGTACTTGGGGCATACCAGATCAAATGGTCTTCTGGGCCATCTCTTTCTTTATGCACATGATTTATCTAATAAAACTGCTCTTCAGTAATTTTGTTCTAGGAGCTCTGCTTGTAATGCTAGTGGGGGGTAAACAGCAAATGTACCTTAGAACAATTCTGTTTAACCAAAGTTTTGGGAGGGGGGAGAGAAAAAAAAAAAAAGCAAAAAAAAAAGCAGGGTTGCTTTCATTCCATTCTTAGAGCTTCATTGTTTGGTCTACGTCCACTTGGCAGTGATGCTTATTGCTGGTAGCAAGAAATTCTTCTAGTGCAAACAAAAGACTACAGAAAAGCTCAGCCCTCTAAGGCTATGTTTTTCTTTATTGGAAACTAGTGAACCCCATGCTGTTTGAATAGGCTACTTTAAATATCTGAGCTAGTTCAGCATTGGCTTAGCTAAGCTGATTTAGCCTACAGTTTGAAATGGAGAAAGCCACCAAGGCTGCTGTTCGTGACCAGAAAATGTTCGGGTACATCTGCTCATACTGTAACGTGTGACAATACTGTTGCTTTGGATGCCAAAATGAGGAAGTGGAAGTCAGGCTTTACAAGTTTGGAGTGACTTGTGTTTTGGTACCTGGGGTTATGTTGGAATGTTTCTCCTTTAAGGCCTGAGAGATGTGAAATAATTTATGAAACTCTTAGGATTTAAGGGTACCCACCAGTGGATTAAAGCAGTTTAAATCTATCTTCAGATATAAGTACTTGTGCTGCCTTAATCCACTGATACAGAGATTTTGAAAATCAAACTAAAATAAAACCTTCGGTTCTGAACTCTGGAATGTTGGTATCAATTGGTTTAACACACTTTCTTCTTCAATGGAAAGCCTCCTGACGGTGCTGTTTGTGCTAGGTCTGTGGTGCCTACCTGTCAACTGACTGGAGCGAGCGCAGGCGAGGAGGGAACAAGCTGAGTTTCTTTGGAACTGGGGAGTGCTTTGTATTTAGGGTGAGTAAAATTTTATTGATGCTACCCAGTAGCAAGGCAGAACTGCTGTACTGGTGTGAATAATTCTTACTTCCCTTCTACTTGGACAGGCTGGATTATATGCCCTCCTAGTTTATAAAGTCTACTGAACTCTTAATGTGGAGGAGAAAATTTTACTTTTCAGTTTTGTCGTAACCCTTTTTCTCCCCTTGCACACAATATTTTCTTAAAAGTTGTAATGAGATAACTCAGTAAACACCTCATCGTTTCTTCAATCACCTAAAAAGCAAAGGTATAAAGAAAGAAAACAACATCTGGCTTAAAAGACAGTTCTGTCCAGTTTTTACCACTAATCATGTGGGTGGAGCCTGAGGGGCTTGAATGTTCTTTGCTGAGCAGAGCTCTCTGTGTAGTGCATGTGCACTAACTAAAGCTTTGCTCTTCTCTGCCCCTGTGCAGCTGCAGCCAGAAGTGGAACGCTATGAGTGGGTGATCATCAAACACCCAGAACTGGCCACAGCTGGTTCAGAGCCAGAAAATCATGCCTCGCCAGCTTCCAGCACCCTCACTTCCAGCAGTGGCCCATCAGACCCCTCGGATCGCCTTTCTCCCTTCTTATCAGCTCGGCACTTCAACTTGCCTTCCAAAACAGCCTCCATGTTCATGGCTGGCAGCAACGAATGCATCATTATAGGTAAGTCAGTGTGAGAGTTGGAGCAGATATCCTACCAGCTCTTCCTATCTGTCTTAGATAAGAGAGTCACCTGTATTTACCATATGTGTATTTCAATATTGCTACAGTTAAGAGATAAAAGTGGCCAAAAGCTGATACTGAAAAAAATTTTCTGTAGGCAAACTTGCATATCAAGCACTTTAGAGTAAGATAGTAACTCACAGCTTTAAGCACAGCCATACCTTCATACTGCCTAATATCATGATGAGAAATAGTTCTTGAAGAGGAACTAACTTTGCACTGAGGCTTTTGAAACATGGTCAACTATAAAACATGTTAATTCTCCCAGAACTTTATTGGGTCTGTGGTGCTGCTGACTTTGGCAAAAGTCTGCTTAGTAAAGTTGTCACCTAAATGGGATTTACGAGGCACGGGTATAAAATTGTAGTTGTCCTTTTCCCAAAAATCTTTACGTGACACTTGTTAGGAGAGCAACTAGCCTGGTGATTTCCTCTGTAACATCAGGCGTTGGCTGATTTCCCACTTAGCAGCATGTGCTCTAATTGACTGTAAGTTGGGCTGCTCCAGTATCAGCTAGGCTGGTGAGAGCTTCAGTGTGTTAGCTGAATTCAAAATTACTGTTAATGATGTATCACAGATATTTGAGATCTTTACTGTTGAGCATATATCTCACCAGCTCTTCCTATCAGCCTTAGAATAAGAGAGTAATTTATATTTACCGTATGTTACACTTTGGGTAGTAGTAAGAGAAATACAAGCTTGGGTAGCAGATATGTAGAAAAGAATGTTGTACACAATTCCAGCTGTAGTCCAGAATTTCCACCCTTTAATCCTTCAGATGTTTTCGGTAGCTAGTCTTAGCCAGTTGCCCTATAAGCAATAGAGGAATCTTCCTTTTTGTTTTCCTGACACATTTCTGTCTAAATTTATTTCACTTTGCTGCATTCTCTGACTGTAAGCTCTGTGAATCTTGACATAGACCCACAGATAATCAAAATGCTTTTAACTCTGACATGGTTTATAATGATTTAGAAGACCAAGCTAATGCTGTTACTTGTTGATCTTGTTCTTCTCCCACCTTTGATTTTTGACTGATAACAGAATTCTTTGGTTTTTCTTTACTGGGGGGAAAATATGCAGTTGTTAGCTTCCAAGATCCTCCAGCACTGAAAAACAAATCTTAAATGCAGGCATTTGTGTCAGGCTTCTTGTTCTTGCTGACTTGCATTACTATTTTTTTAAATTTAGAAAAAAAATCATTCAGTTCTGACAGTGTCATTTAAAAGCTATGCATTTGATCGTAGTCTGTTACACCTGAAGACAGCAAGCAGACATTACTTAGGGCTTCCAGCTGTTCCCAGAAGAAAAGCACTTAAGTCTTTCTTTTTTTTTTTTTTTTTTTTTTGTACAGCAGTTTCCTGTGCTAGGAAATGCAGAGACATGCTTATGCTTGTCTTTGTCTCTTCACAGGAGGTGGTGATGGCCAGGCTCTTTACCTCGATGCAGATCTCAACCATGGAAGAACAAGCCACTGCAATACTTTCAATAATCAGCCGTTGTGCTCTGAAAACTTCCAGATCTCCGTCTTGGAGGTGTGGGGCTTCAGGGACACCATGAATGGTTGACGTGACTATCATTAATCAGCTAGTTTTTCAATTGTCCTAGGATTACCAAGGCAAATTCTAATCCAGGAGCCAAGTTAGAACATCATTTCTGTTGGGCTCAGTGGTTTTTAGTAATTACGAAGTGGTGCACTTAAATGAGGGCTTAGTTGTTTACTCTTAGTTTATTTAAGACAGGTCAAGGTGAAGTAATGTATCTGATTAACTCCTTAGCTCTTTACCTCTAGAGATCTGGATTTGGGTCCTGTTATTAGGTAAAAATGAAAATGTAATGATTTCAAACCATCCTCAATGGATACAAGTCCATATCACAGGATAGGTTTGCCGTTTGATGCAATTCCTCGGAGGCAGAGAGCTGGCTGAGGTGTACTGCAGTGCTGTGTGCCGCAGGCACCAGGATCTGACTTGAGCCAGTAATATCAAATGTCAGCTCACAGGGAACATCAATGACCTCAGATTTGACGTAGAATAGTAATTCATAAAATCATTGCCCTACTATAAGCAGACATTGTGCAGACAAATCAGTACCATTTTGGAAATTATGAAAGCCCTCAATTCACACAAGAACCATGATTGCTAGTTCTCCTTCTCCTTGTTACCTGCTTATCCTTCTCCTTGTACCTGAACCCTTGACACATTCCAGTTCCATCTGTTTGAGGAGGCATCCAGACTGGACAACGATGTCTCAAAGGCTTGTTTACATTCCTATTCCATATCAGTATAAAGACTTCAAACTGACTCATGTTTCAGGCAGCTGAAAGCCAGAGCGTATATATGCAGTGCTCAGAAAGTTCTCTTTCTTCATCTCTTCTGGAAGCTGAAACAGAGCTTTAAATCTGAGAATAACTGTGCTAATATCCCTGCATGTTTGGGGAATTAGACATTGTGATACAGAAGCTTAATGTTCCCCTCACAAGAAAGTGAAGGGAGGTGGGAGGGAAATCTTCTGTGTAGTATTATTCTGGGAATGGACAAGTTTCCGAGGAGAACTCTAGGTGACACTGTTTCTCCATATCACAAGTCTTCCCAGTGATGAGATGCTGAAAAAGGTAACGCTTTTTTGCCAGCAGTGTTCTGGTAGGGTTTGGGTGATGCAGAGAGGCTTTTGCTCATTCCTGAGAATTCTCTGCAACATGCCGTGAGGCATGTGATGTCTGGAGGCAATTGCCCAGTGTCTCTATCTAAAACTTGCGGTATCTGCTGTAGAACTTCTCCCACATAAAGCAAAAGTACGTAAACATCGATGGATAGTCCAGTGCTTACAACAGGATGCTCTCAAAGCTGCGGTGGGTAATTCGCTAGTAAGATTTACTGTGACAGGTAATATGAAGGAAAAGAGGAATTGCTGGTTTTTTCAGCAGTTCAATCTAAAAAAATTGCTTTAGAGTGGGGGAAATGTTATTACTACTTAAACTTGAAGTTCATTAAGAGAAAAAATTATTTTTAGTGATAAAATCTCAGCTAGGCTGGGCAGGGTCATGTTAACATTCAGAGGTCATGAGTGAGTCTTGTTGGTATTGTTGGCTTGTTCAGCTTGCCATCCATGAAAATACCATGTGTCTTGGTAAAGTGTTGCCTCTTGCAAAGCGTATGAACAAACTTGGCAAAAAGCTGATCTGCTTCTTAAGGTGCCATTTTGAATTTTTGTCAAAATAACTGGGAAATATTAGGCCGTGTATGCGACAGTTTAAGATGTCTTTTGCACCATTTCTATTTGCAATTACACTATTTCACTCTGTTTGAGAGTCAGCACTGGCCTCCCTTTCTTCCCACTCAGTGAGTTCTGTCCAGCTGTCTTTTCATAGGTTTACCATAAGCTGGATTGAACTGGAAGGGGAGATACAATTCAGTTATACTTAACGTATTTTGATGAGAAAGAACTTAAACAGTTGTATCTGGCTTTTTACAAATACTGGCTGATGCTGCCTTCTATTATTTTTGCAAAGCTAGCTGTATCACTTTGCACTTGCTAGTATCCCAAGAGCTTCCTCAGACAAAAGAAATCACTCAAAAAATGTATCCTATTTAGTAGGTTCAATTCAGGTGGGATTTCAATTTTGTCCATATCTCCTCTCTTTGGAGCTTGTCTGAGGTACCCTTGGAAAAAAAAGCTGAAAACCAAAAACACAATAGCATTAATTTTCAGCTTGTTGTCAGAAATTCCCTCCAGCTGTGTGTTGGCAGGATTTGTGGGACTTTAGCATTACACTCAAAATGAATAGGTTTTATCTGCAAAATCTTTCCTGCAGCTGGCAGTGGTGATCCCTGCCGAATGCAGCTATGTCAGCGAAACCTGAGTGCTACTCCATCTCTTGAGCCATATCTAAGAAACACTGTTCCTTTCCCTGCTCTGTTCTTAGTGCATGGGGATTTCGGTGTTTGACATCAGAAATAACTCCTAGTTGCTCAGGAAATCATCACGGGATATTAGGATCCAAGGAGCAGTACAGAAAATTGGTGAGGTTTAGGCATCTGAGTCTCGAGTGTCTCTCCGAAGTCAATCGCAGGACTCTGCTCAGCTTCCCTTGTGCCAGGCAAGTACGACTTCTGACCCCCCTGGCAGCGAAGGTCCACAAAAGACCCTTTTTTGGTTGCTTATCTCAATGGCCGACCAGTCTTTTGAAGAAAAACATTCTCTGGGTGGCTGGCAGTGCCTGACAGCTCCCTGGCTGTGCGCTTGCACCTGCTGTGAGCATTCTTGGGGCACACGCTGTGCCCAGAGCAGTTCGGGTGATGACCTGTATGAGTGTGCAAATTACAGCGGGGGGTAAAAGGGTTAACAGGAGATCCTCCTCCCACTGTCATGTTCGTATCAGGCAGGGATGCCTTTGGTTGGATACAGCACCACCCCACCGCAGGCACCCTGCAGGACTCTGTGCTTGTTAACTTGGATAGCCCGAGTAAGCAAGAGGCTGCAATAATCTAGCAGGAGGAATTGTACAATGCTGTGTCATCTTTACACAATCCTTTTGTTCAGTAAAAATGAATGTTCCTTTTCATGTGCAAATCCTCATGTGTAATTCTCGTTATGGTTGTGAGACACCTTAGAGGAATAGCATTGTGACTTGGTTTTCTTTCCAGTAGTGAAGAGGTGTTATTTTGTGTGTGTAGTTAATGGTTGTTGTTGACCAAGTGTATATCAAAGTTCAGGTAATTAAGCCAACAGTTTGTGTTACATGCAGAACTCTTAAGGTGGAGACCACAGGCTGGTTTTTAAGACAATGACTACAATGGGCGCCTTATCAGAAAGTTGAAATTATCTGGAGTACCCAGCTGTGAGGTGCTTTGGTCACGTTGTAACTGAGCAACTGTTGCTGTAGTGCGTAGTCCTTGTCTGTAGTCCCACTGGCAGCGCTGACAGCAAGCGTGCCCGTGTGGCTTGGTTAGCTGTTTGATGGGGAGCCAAAGGCTGGGCGTCACCTACCACAGTTCTCCAAAAGCGTTCTTGCATTCCCGAGAAGCTGGTTTTGCTTTGTAATATTCTCTTGAAGACAGAAAAGGCTAGAAATGCCTGACATCAGAAACTTGAATTTATTGTAAATGGCCTCTGAGCTATTTCCAGGCCGTGGGAACTGTTTCCGGCTCTTGGCCAGGCTGGACAGACTTCATCGCTGCACCTCAAAGCTGTCATTCCTGCAGATCACGCACTTTGACACTCTCCCTTTTCTGATGAAGTACATTAAGCAGCCTCTTTTTAATAGAGGCCAATTAACAAAGGGACGGGAAACACTCCCATCCTGTTCTTTAAAGAGTTAAACTTCATGCCAATAGAGATCTGTGCTTAGCCGTAGAGGGGTGGCACTGGCAGGTCTGCATCTGCTATTTGTGCATGTGCATTGAAATTGTGTGCTTTGTCCTTGGAAATCCGTCCTCGTTTTTGACAGGGAGTGAGCTCCTCTGCCCACTGCCTGTACAGCCACCACGGTGACGTGGGTGCCCCGGCCAGTGGGGACCGAGAGCTCGCCTGCAGCCACAGCTGGAAGAGCTCAGCTCCTCTGACTGACGCCCTGAGCCCTGTTATTGGACAGACCAGAGGCTTGGGCACCCGGCTGTTAATGTTGAGATGCCTTTCTGCCAGCTCTTTGTCAGGAATTTCACACTATTCATAGTTGAGATGAATGTGCGTATTATTTGGGGTGATGATTTTCTTCAGATGAGTGCTGGCATGCTACTGAATTGGTTTTCTACCCTATCATTGGAATCGCTGCCCTACGCTGATGGTATTTTTGTCGCTGTGCAGAGTCTTGGATTGTATTAAAAGGTGTTTGACTGTGGAGGCAACCAACTTTGTCCTTCATTCAATTTTTTTCCTTCCTGTAGACCTCACAGCAAATGGGGTGCTGAAACTGAGAAATAAACCTTGGAGCACGTGTTCTCACCTGAGCTCTTCACTACAGTAATGCAATTACATAGTTCCTGACTGTTTTAGATATCACAGGGCTTCTACCAAGATCAGGTGCCAAACTGACTGTAAAAAACCTTAGATTGGCAAATTCTGAAATGAGCCTTCTTCCCTTTAGTGGGACCAGAGAGCGTGCTTTGTCCCAGCCCAGCCTGGGCTTAAAACAGAGCTTAGAGGTGTTTCCTGGCCACTGACACTTTTAAGCTGTGGATCAGACCAGCGGTGCCATTGCATCCCATGCCTGTAAACGTGGTCATCGACGGGGCCAGTCCTGCAGCTGCTGTAGGTCAGCGCTGCTCTGGCTGGAGGCTGTGCCTGCCCTGTGCCTGGTGGCAGCAGCCAGCTCAGCCGGGGCACTGCCTGCTTAAAACCAGGATGGTTTTGTTCCTCTTGATGGCTTGGGTTGGACCTGGGTCTCTTCCCTGCCTGTGTCCCTGATAACAGCGCAGATGCTTTTTGCCGTGGCTGGAAGGAGTATTTCTAGTTAGCAGTACTGGCTTAAACAACTAGTCCTGTTACTTAAGCCCAGTCTTTGCCAGCGCATGAAACTTAAATGTAAGGCTTGTGGGAACTACAGGAACTTACTGGTTTAGTTGGAGGACATCAAGATACTCTGAGCCTTTGGAAACCCTGCACACAATGACCAGTGAAGTAAAAAAAAAAAAAAAGTTTCTAGTGAAATTCCTGGCAGGAAGGAGGAAAGAAAAAAAATAAAAACCCCATACAACATATACACCC